AAAGGTATGGCAAATTATTTTTGTGAAAGACTATGTGGTCTTAAAGTTAAGGAATTGGGGTTTTTCACTTCCTTCTGTGTAAAACTGTGTCTGAACAACCCAAATCCTTGAGCCCCTTCTTAGCATAAGTGTGTTGAAAACTTGGTAGGCAAATTCCCAATTTAAAAACGCATTTTATTGTAATTTGTAGTTCTCTCCACTCTTCTGCAATTTTGAATAAAAATTCTTGATGTATAAAATAGGTTGGGACATGAGGGAGTTGGCAACGCAGAACTAAACCACTTTCAAAGGCCTGTTTTCCATGTAGTGTATACATTATGTATATTAACAAATCATATGTGATGTCTTTATGTATGTGTCATCATCTTCACCAACATATGGAATAGAAACGCACAGAGAAGTATAAAGGAAATTGAGTAGGTGATTGAAGCCTGCATATTTAAATTCCAGTTAAATGTCTCCCAGAGTTGTGAATATCTGGCAAGAGGCTCTAGCGAGAGATCTAAGTGAGAGATCAGTGATAGAAGGAAAATAAAGTTAGGGTTTTGCAGTAATCTTTTAAAGATCAACCTCACAAAAGAGACCTGTCTGTTAGGTGAAATCAAGCAATTTGCAGAGGTAGCCATCAGAACTGGTCACGTTCGTGGCAATAGCCTGTGGTCTGCCGGTTTTGTGCTTTTGACAGTGGGGAGCCTTGCAGGAGACCCGTATGCTATTAGACGTTTTTGTCTTTGCCTTTTAAAAAGGCAAACCGTTACAGGCAACTCCATTTTAAAACGTGTTTATATGAAATGGTCCCTGAGAGAAGGGAGCAAGCTTGTAAAGGCTCATTTTAAAGAATGAAACCCAAAGTTCAGTTGAGCAGGAAGTGAACGAGTTGAAATTAGAGAAGGGCCGATTAGCGCTAAGTGCAGCATTTCCCAACCTGTATCCTTGAAACACTAGAATGCTGTATGATACTAAGAGAGGTTTAGGGAAGCAGGGTAGGGTGGAAACAATTCCATGGTTAGGTAGGGTGGGTATAACAACATATTCTCCCCAGTTTCCTCGGGGAAGTCTTGAACAGAAGGCTATTTATATTTAAATGAAGAGTTGAAAGGATATACCCTTTACCTAGATTCACCTATTGTTAACATGTTGGTACATTTCTTTTATCTCTTGCTTTTCCCCCCCTATATACATAAATAAATATAACTACTTTTTAATGAACAGTCTGAAAGTTGCAGATATCATGGCACTTGACCCTTAAGTACTTCAGTATGACTCTCCTAGGAATAAAGACATTGTCCTCTATCAGCATGGTACCATTATTACCTCCCCTGGAATTTAGCATTGGCACAAAACGACCCAATATACAACCCATTTTCAGTTTCTCTCAGTTGTCTCACTGTCTTTTATAACCTTTTTACTCCTACCTGGGACCCAAAGAAGACACTGTATTTAAACTCTTGAAAATTTGTGGGATGCTATTGATGTGCAGAACCTTTTGAGAGAAGGTAGCAAAGGTGGTATATTTACATCTGTTCCACTTCTTATAACTTAATAAATGCCAACACTTCATTTAAAATGTGTAACAGTATTGACTGGACTGTGTGTATGTTTTATCCTTTGCATCTCTCACTTATGATTGCAGAGGAAAGCAGAACTATAATTACTAAGAACCTGAATATATCTGACAAAATAGTACATATCACACACACACACAAAAATAACCGACTATCTTCAGGAGTATGCCTTGAAAATTTCATGTGTATTAATTGCTAACAAGGTACCGACCTAAAATAAATTTCTTCAAATTCTGTTTCTGATTACACCTTTTCTTATCAATTCCATGCTTAGAGAAAATTTGGAAATAACTGTGTTTTCCTCCTGTCTTTTTTCTATGACACTAAGTATGGATTTTTGGGCAGAAGACTGGCATGCTGACGGTAACATGTGTTTCAGGATCTAAACTTTCAAAAAATAGTTAAATGGAGCATGCGACTTTAAGAGGAAAAGGAAGAAGCAATTAGGGTCCAAAGAACTATCATAGTTGGCAAATGTCCTAGTGATGTTTATCTAATAAAAAAAATAAACTTTTATTACATAAAGTTCCATGACAAATAATACTTAACACATGTTTGGAAGTCATCCCAGACAAAATACCCGGGCCACTCCTGATTTATGAGGTGTGGTAACGATTTTTGACTCAGTGAGGTATTCTGACCCTCATTTGTAGCTAAACTCAGAAATCATTCCCCGTTTCTCTAGCAAAGGCAGTTGTATTACATCCTGAATTTTTGCCTTCCTGGATGTAGAATGTAGGGTCACCAAAGCTGTCCACTCGCAGTTAGAGTTTCCTGAAAGGGAGTGGAAGACAGCATGAGTATACTTGCTCATCGAAAATAAATGCTGCTCTATCAAATTTGCATGTGGAGGTTTCTCTCTAATTAATGTCTGTCACTACTTATTACTTACAATATTATGAGATTAGTTCTAATGTTTATAGACCTTAATCAGATTTAATAATTGTAAGAGTTAGGAAAATTTGTTTTTAGCCACAACAACCAAAAGGTCATTTGTACTCCCTCAGAAATCACAAGTCTTAACTTTGCTCCAGTCATTTAGTGTCTAAGATAGCTTATATTTCTTATCTCCTTTCCTCATGATATATGTAGATGACCATAGCTATTCTCATCCCCCATGACCTGTCTAGAGGACTGTAGTTATTCTAATTCAGCTTCAGCCTTTTTGCCAAACATAAGCAAATACTTACTTCATCCTAGCCATTCCCCCTTTTTTTTTGTGCACCAGACTAATATATCAAAACAGCCTTCTACATGTTTCTGTGGGGACGTTCTTTGGCTACCTAAAATCTTGATATACTCAATATGCTTGCTGTCTCTATCCCTGGGTTGCAAGTAACAGAAAGTAGTGCTAGCTGAAGTGAATAAACTGAAAAACAAAAGAATTTATCGTAAGGATACAGTATGGAATATGAGAGTAGCAAGACAGCCAGGTCTTAGAGGGATAGGAACCAGGAATTGGGAAGCTGCTGGTAGGTCCTCTGATTCTTTTCTTAGTATCTGCTACTTTTGGAGTGTGCCTAGTTTATTAGTGGCTCTCTCCTCGTTCCTCTCCCTCCGGCTACTACTACTATCATGGTCGCTGTCTTCTCTCTGCTCACCCACCCTTGGGTGGGATGTAGCTGCCTGCCGCACAGACTTACTATTCCAGCTACAGATAAAAACTGCTTTCTATGTAGGATCTGGAAATCCCTTATTTAATTGACCCAATGTATTTAGGTGCCCATTTTAGGTCAATAAAATATGACCAGATACTGACCTACATTGTATAAAGACAATTTGTGGGCTCTTCCTTTGGAGAGGGGGGGTGCTTCCAGAAGGGACAGCTGCTCATTAGCTGAGGACATATTTCGAGAATCCCTTGACTGTTCTCTTTCCTGGTAATGGCCCGTCTACCCAGTGGTCTATGTCAGAAACCCGGGAGCCATCCAGCTCTCCTCCCTCACTGTCAGCAAGCAGTCAGTTACATCCTGCCCATCCTTCACCTTAAATACCTCTTAAATTTAGACCTTGGGTTTCATATCCATGGTCAGTGGCATATTTTGGACCATCATAGTCTCTTGCTTAAACTATCACAGTAATCTCCCTGCCTTCAAGTTCTGCTGTGCCAGCAGTTAAAAATTCTGTTCTGATCAGATTCTTTCACTTCTTGGTGCTCTTTAATGATTCCTCAGGTTTAGGCAGTATTTCCCAAACTTTCCTGATCAAAAACTTACCTGAGGTGCCAATTAAAAATATATATTCCTAGGTTACTCCTCCTTCTAGATTGGTAAACTTGTGGTAGAGCCTGGTCATGTGTGTTTTTACGAGGCACTCCAGTGGTTTCCAATGTTTCCCAAACTCTTCTCCAGACGCCCTGCCCTCTCCTCCCCAGCTCTGCACTGGAAGTTGGGCTCAGGGCTCCGCAATCTACCCAGAGCGCTTCCTCCATTTCTGTGCATCATTGCTTAGTCAACAGTTCTCATCCTTGAAGAATCAGCTCATGTGCCACCATCTTTGTAAATCTATGGTCCCTGGGCTGAATCAACTGCTCCTTCCTGGAAGCCTCAAAGAATCTTGTGCTCCACCTCCATTAGAATTTCTTCACGCTAAATAAGGTTTCTTTCTCCCCATTGTATATGAGAGCTTTAAGAACAGTGACTGAATTTTATATACTTTATAACTAAAAGGACATCATATACTAGGAATGCTACATTATTTATGCCAGGAAATGAGGGAGCTAAAAACAAAAAACACAACCAAAAAAAGGTACCATTCTCCCTGAACTTGGGTAAAATAGGCAAAGGGAGATGAAATGGCTGCTGTCTACTGATCGTGCAACTGGAAGATGCAATTTAGGTGCGTGGCTACAGCAGCTTCCTAATGCTGCTCCTTAGCATTAGACAGACTCAGCCCTGGTGACAGCCCCCCCTTCAAGGGCAGAGCATTTGCTGCCAAGCTTACAGAGTGGCTGACATTTGCAGAAAGCCCACGCTTTCTGCAGAAGCAAGTAAGAGTTTTGCATATTCCCAAATTTGCCAGTCAGTTCACTTCTTTTCCTCTGGAAATGAATAAGGATAGAATGATAGCAATAGCTAGACTCTAAAGGAGCTCCTTCCACTTGGAACATCGGGAGTGGGGGCGAAGTGCTCACCCAGATCCACTGGACCTCAGCTTCTGACTTGCAGGTCACAGCCAAGAAAGAGGACTTGCGCCTGGCGCTCTGAGGAGGGGTGGCATGGGGCTCCAGTCCCTGACCGAGGCTGCTTCAAAGTGGCGTTTTGAGGGTCACTTTTGTGGTTTCAGCGAATTGGACTTCTGCCACTCAAAACAGCTTCCCTCCACTTACTCATGTTTCTGTTCATGCATGTGACGCAATCATTTTATTTTTTCTGTTGAAAAGAAAGGGCAGGGAATTCAACTAATTGGGTAATCCTTAGGTAATAGAGAAGATCTGTCTGGGGCGGGTGATGTTACAACATCAGTTGGCATCACAAGTGGACATAGATGGCAAGGGCTCAGGAACAGAAAGTTCTTTTCCTTCTTAATGCCTGTTCTTTTTAGTGCTCTATTTTTCCTAATATCTTCTTTTTGGATAGAGCAACAGAGCTATCTGCTGGCTTACAAAGGCCAAGTTACTTGGGTCAAAGACAAGAGAGATGATCAGATACCAAATATGTGTGTGTGCATAAGAGAGAGAGAGACAGAGACAGACAGAATTAGAGATTTGGGGACCAGGCAAAGAAGGTGACTCGGCGATGAAGATAGGGAGGTATGTTTGAGTGATAAAGGGATTGTATGACTCCGTGGCCATGTTGGAGCTGGAGAGACTTCATCACACCTTAATCGTATGACTTTTGTAAGCTGCTTAAGCTCTACACGCCTTGGTGTCTTCATGTATTTCAGGTAACAGATACACTAATTGTTTTTACATCGTCACGTGCTGCTGCCGATCATCATCCTAATTACTCTAATCACGTCAGGCTGCAAGATGAACTTTTCAAAGCTTTTCCTTCCAGTGTTCTCTCTCTCTTTCTGACCATGTCGGTTTAGTACATGGCTCGGCCTCACCCTGTTTGATGTTAGGAGCATCCCAAATAGCAGGATATTTTGGCAAATCCATGCCTTTATTACTAACAAGTGTACATTTGGGAAAAGTTGCTACTTGCAACTGTGGAAAATGTGTCAACTAATAGATCCAGAAACGCAGTTTTGAAGGCTCTTGGTTTCTTTCTACCTGTGGTCACTGTTAGCACTCTTTCACTAAGTTCTTAAGCCTTTCAAGAAATGATGAAACATAAATATTCACTCCTTGATGTTGTGGGCAAAAATAACTACTGCAACCATCAAATGTGCATTGCATGTAAAAATTACTATATATTAAAGCTGACCTCAATAATACAATTTCACTGTCAGGTCTCAATGAAGCTTGGGAGAGCTTTTTGTTTGGGATTTTTAATGACATATTTTCCTTCCAAAGATAGGAGCCCTTCATTTTGCTTATAGCCTGTAGCTGTGTGAGTAGGTACAGGAGGATTGTTACTTCAGGATGAAAGTTGGCTGGTGATTAATTCACAAACAATATTTTCCTGTTAATACAGGTATGTTCCTATTAATACAGCTATGGACGTATGTGGGCCAATCGTTCCTTAAAGTGTTTGTTAAGTATGTCAAGAGTGAGGCTTTGTGGCCTCATTCAGTGTATCCCCAGTATAGCCGTAATTTCAAGCCCTAAGTCTCTCTTGAATTATGCTTGGCCTCACAGTTGGCTTCAACACAGTTGAATAATTTCATATATGTGCGCCTCATATGTATGCTCTTTGTAGATTGATGATATATCTTGGGTAAAATTCACAATTCATTGCTCATGGTATTTTTTTGAGTTCCAGAAACATGAGCTGGGAAGTTAATTTTCTAGTTTTTAAGGGAAAACAACACCCACAGAGGCTAGTAATGATGACCTCAGAGGATATGAATTGGATCCAGCTATGACGTGTCTCAACCTTCCAGTTGAGTTCACAGGCCTTTCATTATTCTTGCACCACTCCATGTTTAGCCCTGAGTTCCCTAGCAACTTGAAACCACAGGCTCTTTATGGAAAACTGAAGCTCTCCATCAAGGGTGAGTACAATAACTGTGATCTCTGTTGGAACAGCCCAGCAGATGCTCAAAGCCCAGCTATGGGTGAGGGCAGTCTGCCTAACCACACTGAATTAGCAGCCACAGGACAAGTCTAGCATGAGCCTGCTGGGTAATGGAACTCTCCAAAGACATTGTTTATAATAAATGGCTACCAAACGTTAAAAAATATATTCTAGACGCGATAATTAAGATCCTAGATAGAAGCTCTGAACCAGGAACCTGGGGAATCCCAGCCATTTAGAGAGAGTCATTTAAAAAGAGATTGAAAGATGTAAACAGATTTATAAATTGCGTTTTATAGCTCTAGACAGAATTCATCTTTTCTTTGGGGAAGCAGTTTAATGGGCCTTTGGGCTCTGCAGAGAGAGTCAGATTCGCTTGTGGCAATAAGAAGCCAAGCTTGTGTATTCAAGATTGTGTTTCTTTGGTAGAGAGCGTCAAGTGGTCACCGGTTTTCTGCTTTGGGAAACCCAAAGACATGAAATTGGGGTGATTTTTATTTGGGTAATAAATATATGTTGATGTCAGGGTGTTAAACAGCCTCAGTACAGTTTGGTCCGTTTGTGATGCGGTACTCACGTGCCTCTTAGACTGCTCACCTCCCTTGGGACTGAATCGGGCAGGCCCTCGCATGGGTCCTCGCCGGAGTCCACCCTGACCAGTCTGTCGGTCTCCTCACCTGCACTGCCCTCTTCCCTCGGTTTTCTGGAAGTCCCTCAACTGAGCGGCCCTGAGGCTACTCTTCTCTTGGGAAATTCCAGTCCCACCTGGTGGAGAAAGAACTTTTTCTTCTCAGTCTTTCCCAGCATTTAAGGGCAATGCCTCAGGCTTTGACTAGATGCTAAAGATGACTTTTCTGTGGGTCTGTGTCAGCTCCTGGGGGAAGAGGAACCATTTGTCCTGGAGTGTGGGTGATGGGGACGTTCAGTTCCAATTCCCTTTCCCGTCAGTGAGAGAAGCCAATGATTTCCTCTGATGTCGCTTAAAGAATGGGCACAATTCAGACTAACCAAGAGCAGCATTTCTTCCCCTGTGAACATTATATCTGAAAGTTAAAAAAAAAAAGTTTAAAATTGCTGTTGATCTGGCTCTGCCTTTCCGACAATACCCCGTGGTTACTGCAGTACTTGCTTTTTTCTGATCCTGGCTGTAAATTACTTTTTGTTTCCTATAAAGATGGAGAAGCACCAGTTCGAATTAAAATTCTTTTTTTCTTTGGTCCAGGTTTTCTCCTGATGGCAGTCTACCCTACTGTCAACAATTATTTTTAAGAGCAAAGAAGTCTCAATCCATGTGTATATTTAAAAAATTTCTGAGAGGATAAAATATGCACTCACAGGGACAAAAAAATTCTGCATATGAAGAGCAATATAATTTTTTTGGAACTAAACATCTGGTTTCCTCCTTAAAGAACAGGATCTCTGCTTTGTATAACCACAGTGTCGTAGGCAGTGCTGAAGTTCAAAGACGTATACTATGGCTTTCTCTTCTACCCGCAGCAGTTGATATAAGAACAAAGATTTTTATTAACTATAGAACTTTAAAAGAGGGCTATGACCTTGAAAGAAGACCAGTAGGAGATTTACTTGTCACCTTCTACCACTAATATCAAAACACACACACACACACACACAGGTTGAGAGGGGAAGGGCAGAGAAAATAGGCCATGACATTAAGTATGTTTCTTTGCTTTTGAAATTTTCAAAAATAAGTATATATTGCAGTGTTACTATTTTAAAGTGACATAGTGCATGTGAGAGTATATCATGCCAGTAACCTAGTATATGCTTAGTAAATTCTCAAGTCCTCCACTATCTCTGATAAAAATGAATTGGCTATACTTCCAAAAGGAAAAAATAAAGTTAAAATGAGACACTTTAGAGCAATAAGCATCTGTGATAGGATTGGAAAATCACCTCTAGTGTCCTGAGCAGCCAAAATATAAAAGCTTCTTAAGTCAATGGCTATTCTTAAGAGTTAAAACTTCTGAGAATATCTAATCTATATAATCAGAGAATAGAACTTTTGGCAGTCTCCCAGAAAAACTATAAAACTAGACAAAAATTTCAAGAACTTTCATTTCAGGGCTCTGATAAAGACCAAAGAAAACAACCAGTTAAGAAGTATTTATTCCTGAGTTACTGCTGAACTTCTGTACAGGCAGTGGGAGTCTGTGGTGGTCTTGCTTCTCTCCCCAACCCCACTGGCTTGGTAGTGCTACCCAGACGGGGCTGACTGTGAAATACAGCAGTTCACCTGGAGGGGGCTGGCCTGATTGGGGCGAAAAGTGAGAAACCCACATCCAATGACATTGTCAGTGAAAACAGCAAATTTGGTCAGAAATAAATGGGTGAACTTCATATTCTGGAAAACTATGCTTCAAAAAATGAAGGCAAGTTAAAAATATTCCCAGTGAAAAAAGAATCTTAGAGAAATCAGTGCTAACAGGCCTGCCTTCAGGAAACACTAAAGGAAGTTCTTAAGGCTGAAAGGAGGTGACACCAGATGGCAATTCGAATCCACAGGAAAAAATGAGGAGTACCAGAAATGATAAATATGTGTATAAATATAGGACTGAATAAATGTACTTTTTCTTCTTTTAGTTTCTTTAATCTTAATCTAAGATTGCATAAGGGAATCATTTTAACATTTTCCTGTTGAGTTCATAACATGTAAATACGTAATATTTATGAGAAAGAGAATATGAGATACAATGAAAATATGAGAAAATAAAGCTATATTGAAGCAAAATTGCTGTACTGTACCAGAATTGTCATATTAGCCATAGAAGGAGATTGTGATAATTTACAAAACCTATTGTGTTTCCTAAAGTGATCACAAAAGAATAACACTAATAATTTATAGTTAAAAAGTCAACAGAGGAATTAAAATGCTACACTATTAACTTCTGTTTAAGAAAAAGAAAGGAACAGAAGACCATAAAAGACATGAGACATAAAATAAATAAAAATGGTGGAGTAAATCCAATCACATTAACACCTACATTAAATATATATGGGCTTAACACTCAAGAAGATGACAGAGATCAACAGACTGGATAGAGGTCAAGGTACAACTATGTGCTGTTAATAAGAGAGAAACTTTGGAATCAAAACCACAAATAGATTGAAAATAGAAAGATAAAAAATGACATACCAGCTCAGTTTAAAAATGGGCCAAAGACCTTAACATCACCAAAGAGGATACACAGATGGCAAATAAGCACATTAGAAGTTCCACATCGTATGTTATCAGTGAAATGCAAATTAAAACAATAATAGATATCACTACACACTGATTAGAATTGTCAAAATCTGGAACACTGGCAACACCAAATGCTGGTGAGGGTATAGAGCAAAAAGAACTCTTATTGCTGGTGGGAATTCAAAATGGTACAGCTGCTTTGGAAAACAGCTTATTGGTTTCTTACAAAATGAGGTATACTCTTACCATAAGATCCAGCAATTGCATTCCTTGGTATTTAGGCAAAGGAGTTCAAAACCTCTCCACACAAAAACCCTGCATATAGATGTTTATAGCAGCTTTATTCATACTTGCCAAAACTTGGAAGCAATCACAATGTCCTTCAGTAGGCAAATAGATAAACTGGTACATCCAAATAATGGAATATTATTCAGCACTAAAATAGTGATCAAGTTGTGAGAAGACACGGAAGAACTTAAATGCATAGTACTAAGGGAAAGAAGCCAATTTGAAAAGTCCAACTACATGACATTCTGGAAAAGGCAGAACTTGAAGACAGTAAAAAGACCAGTGGTTGCCAAGCATTAGGGGATGGGGAGAGATTAATAGGCAGAACACAGAGGACTTTCAGGGCAGTGAGAACACTAACTTACACTGTTGGAAGGGGCCCAAATGGAAAGCCTGGGAAGACATGCCAGCAGCCTCTAGGAGCAAAGACTGCCCTGGGCTGACAACAGCAAGGAAATAGGTACCTCTGTCTTACAACCACAAGGAACTGAATATGGGCAATGACCTGAATGATTTTGGAAGCAGATTCTTCTGTAAAGCCGCCTCAATTTCAGCCTTTTAAAACCCTGAGTATTGGACTGAGTTGAATCCACCTGAATTTCTGACCTACAGAAACTGTGATATAATAAATTTTTGTTCTTTAAGCCAATAAGTTTGTGGTAATTTGTGATAGCAGCCATATAAAGTTAATACATTTATCATGCAAGAAAGAAATATAACATTTATAACTACCTGGCAATAGTTAATTCATGATTTCATAAGCTTCCTGTCTGTCAGAGATGTTGAAGAAATGATTCACCTCATCGTTGAGAGGTAGGACGTGATGGCTTGTAAAGCTCCTTTCAGGTTAAGATTCTGTCCTCCAAAAATGCATGTTTAATATGAGTAACTGACACTAAATGATATGAGGATATGGGTAAGTTCTAAAAGTTGCTATGATTTGTGTACTGTATCTTAAGTATTGATAAAAACATTCATGTTTATCTCATAAATTAACTCTCTTTGTTTTAAACACTTGTAGAAACATTGCAGAAGTCAGAAATGCATTTGTTTATGCCCGTCCTTAATGCTAACATCTGAGGCCAAATCACTCGAATATAGGGGAAAAAAGGTTTGTGAAACTAAACATGTGAGCTTTGAAGAAACAGGATTGGTTTTGCAAGGTAAAATATGTTACTAACTTTGTGTGAAGGCTTATTCATGAGGCAATACAGATATTTAATTAGCCACCATTATCTTTTTGAGATATTACCATGCAGTATTTATCTACATGGGTGCTTAGGAGAGTACTATCTTGGAAATGAAATGGTTGGCGATTCAGATTCATTAAATGTGATTTTAACATGAAATTTTTAGTCAACTGTGTGTTCAAATTCAAAGTCTGCCACTTGTATGAGACCTCACAGAAGCCACTAATGTTTCTAAACCTCAGTTTATTGAGCTGTAAAATAAAGGTAATATTGAAATTAATCTTGTAATAGATTATTTTGAAGATGAAATGAGAATATAAGGAAAAATGTACATAAAATTCAACATCATTCAGTGCTGAATTTCAGTTGCTTTGAGGTGAGCTTGTGAAAAAGAATAAAGGAAATCTCATTTAAAATGGAGTCAGGAAGCCATGAAGGGAGAACTCTTTCCACATTTCCACTCCTGGAAGCTTACATAGACCAGCAGGAAGTAGGAAGATTTCCTCTAAGCCTGGCAACCGCAATCTGCCTTCGCCTGCAGCCAATGAGAAGCCATTACCACTTTGAACTCTCATTTTCCTCCAGTGAGCTTTTGTTTAAAGCAACCCCATCCGTGTTTCTCTTACTCCTCTGTGAAAGGATGCTCTGTGTTCTCCAGTCCTGCCAATGGTTCTGCCATAGTTTGCATGTCCTGAATTGCAATTCCTCTTCTGTTCCTGAATAAACTCATTGGCTGCTTGGTACTCTTTGTTTAATTTTTAAGGTTGACAAGCTCAACGATTTGGAGATGTCCGTGCTTCCTAACCGTAATTAACTAGATGTGATTTTATTTCTTTTGTTGATAGTGTTGCTTTCTGAGCAAAGTTATGGCAGCATAGAATCATTTAACATTTTAAAAAGTTAATATTAGGCCTTCTGTTTCAGTGGGCACCTAAGAAATAATAGAAATGTATTTGTTGTTGAAAATTTATCAATAGTTACAAATAGCTAAAGGCTTTGCATATATTAGTTTAAGCAGATTTTGGACTTAATTTATCCCAAATGTATTTTGCTGTGCATAATTATAGAGACTTTCGTTGAATCAACTGTAAAGAGAATTGAATGATGAAAATAATGATCACAATGACTACTGGAAAATGTTCTTAATTTTTGTGGTCAGAAAACTTTCAAGCACATAATTGGAAATATTTTACATTGTTTGTCAATTTAATGTGTGCTTTCCTCATCGTAAAACCAAACCAGCTATAATCAGATGCTATTTAATGAGTCACCAACTGCCGTTTGGAAAGTCCCATTTATATTTTCGTATTTCTAAATTACTTTACAGCCAATTACTAGTTCTGTGTACCAAGTGTGGCCTAAAGATGCATCTTCTATGGCTAATAATAAATAATGTTTAAACAGTTATTTAAACAGAAATAATGATCTGTATATATTTAAACAGAAATAATGATCTGTATACAAATTATCACAACTTAAAGAAAAAAAGTTAAAATGGGAACTAATAAAGCCTAATATTAATGGGATAGTATATTCAGTGATGAATAAATGGACACATTGATGTTTAAAAAGGATAAAACAGGTATCAGTAGAATTCTATCATATAATTTAGTGAGGGATTCTGGTGAGCAGAAGAGTTCGTATGTTCATTTCTGTTCAAAGGGATTCATTCTGTTCTTGGGTGGCCTGTTTATATTTTGTCACTCATTCATTATAACTGCTTAGAATAGAGTATAACTAAATTTACTGTTTTTCCTATCAAAAGAAGAATCAGGATATCTTTTAAAAACCGCTTTATGCCCAAGAAAAACCTAGTCAGCAGTTATTTCAGTGAAATGCCAGAAAGGTCATCGATTCAGAGCAAACCCCAGGATGTCTTCTCTAAAACTTTTGGGTGAGAAGTGAGCTCAGCTAGGGCAAGGGTGCTGATGCTGCAAGAAGTCAGGATATCTGAGAAGGCACTACCCCTCCCACTCCCCCGGGAAAGGTGGTGGTGGTGGTGGTGGTTTAAAAAGTACGTAGAAAACGTATTGTTAATAGGAGCTGTTTTATGTGACGGGCCCTTGTGATTTTCTATTCCTTTTCTCTGTACTTTTTCTTTATTTTTCCTTCCTACCTCCCTCCTTCCCTCTCTTCCTTTCTTCTTCTTCTTCCTTCTTTTCTTTCTCTTTCTCTCCCCTCCCCTCCCACCATCCCTTCCTTTCCTCCTCCTCTCTTTTGTACATTCCAAATTTTAATGTTTCTAATACTTGTATATCAAAAAATGAGGAAAAACTTTGAAAAACACCGAAAGTTTCTGGTCTTTGAATTTTCTGCTTTTAAGTTTTCTTTCATCACAAAGAAGAAAATAAGAAATGAGTCTCAAACACCACCAACTATGCCCAGGGATCTTTTGTGCCCTTGCTGGGCTAGCAAGGACTGTCACAATTTTATAGTGTAAGAGACGGATGCCCATAGGATATGCAGGCCTGTGATATTAGCTGTCTTGTCCCACATTATAGGTAGAGAAGATAGAAGGATGGCTTATAATACTCTTCAGAGGCTTCTCACTGCTCTCGGGACAAATTCTGAGCTTCCCTATAGCTGGAATCAGGTGAACTGGGCAGAAAATCCTCTTCTGCGTATTTCCATTTTCTCAATGAAAGGAGAAGCAAGGGTATCTGCTGAGAGTGGAGATGGCGGAGAAAGTCTGAGAGATAGGAAATAGTCACCTAGAATAATGGCAGAATGAGAGAATGAGAAATGTGGTATATAGTATTTGTGTAATGGTTATAAATTTTAAGTGGCGCCAATTTTTATGAATGGCTGTGTGTTTTTCTCCTAACCCTTTCAGCTACACAGATCTTCTGGGTTAGGTTCTCTCAAAAAGCTGTAATTAAAGTATTGACCAGGACTTTGGTGGGTTTTCTGCTTCAAGGTCTCCCTGAACTGCAGTCAATGTGTCAGTGGGTCGCGTTCTCATCTGCAGGCTCAACTGGCATAGAGTCTACTTACAAGCTCATTTACTTGACAGAATTTATTTCCTGGCAGCTGTAGGACTATAAACTTCAAGGTTGGTTGGTTGTATTTTGGCTGGCAGGAGGCTACCCTCAGCACCTAGAAGTGTGTCAAATTCCCTTCTGTGCGGCTCTCTCTGTGGGCAGCAGTTCACAGCATGGCAGTTGGTTGCTATCAAGAGGTCGTACTCACAGGTCCTTATACAATCCAAAAGGCAGGGTAGGGTCATGGGTCATGGGAGTCACCTTTGAGTATGTCTGCCACACCATTCTATTCCCCAATACCTGCCCAGTAAGCCAAACTTAGTAAATAGTCTTTTTTAAACAAAAACTTACAGAGCTCTTATTTTGAGTCAGAAACTGGTCTAAGGACTTTAGGAATATCCCCCAGCAACCCTAGCAGGTAGATACTATTATGACCTCATTTTAGTAGGTGGGGAGATGAGGGACAAAGACATCAGTTAACCAATCCAAGATCGCTCAACTAGGCCACTGCAGAGCCAGGACTGAAACTCATGTTCTCTGGCTTCAGAATCCATATTCTTACCTCTTACGCTAAACAGTCAAAAACAAAGTACATGAATCAATAAATGCTGTTGGACGACTCAGGAAATAATTGCCCAGCAGCAGTGGAAACATAAGTAAATTTTGAGCCTGCATTTTTGTAGTTAATGTTTGATACCAATCCAGTTGGCACTGTCAAGAGACTTGGATTGCAACACTGGGTCTCTTTTCTATTAACATTAAGTAACACAGGCCAAGTGGAGATGTGGTGCCTGGGGCAAAATAATATGAACGAACTTCTTGCTGTGCCTGAGATTTCTCGGAGGTGACATCCCATTTTTTATTATGTCCTTATTTAAAGATATTACGTGAAAAATAGAAAGCAAATTTCACCCATCAAGAAGGAATAGGTGACAAGGAGGTATCTCCAACAATAACTTGTGGTTTACCTTGTGTGTGTTACTCCTATTGAGATGAGGTTAACTTAGAGATAAAAAGCGTAATAAATCCAAACATACTGTATTTAGAGTATAGCTGGGAAACCAGCTTATGGGAGATTGTTCACATCTGGGAGACTGTATTATGAATGGGCATCCATAAGCACAAGTGGGTGGCTGAACCACCAGGTGGGCGGGGAGGCAGGTTTAAGAACAAAATATGTTGCACTTCTGGTTTCAGTGTAGGTCAGATGCCATTCTAGGCTGTTTCTGAGGAATTCCCCCTGGAGACACCACTACGGTTCATTAGGAAAATCCGTCCAAGTGGGCCACTAAGAATAGACATTAAATATTTGACCCAGGACTCATAATGGTAATGATATGTTTAGCTTTAAGGGAAGAAATTATGTTGGGAATATTTTTTACTGAAGTTGAAGGGTTTTAATGATTGGATTATTTTTAGGCTCATTCAGAAAAATCATGTTATGTAGCAATAGATGGCTGACTTCTAATCTTA